TGCAATCAAATTTAAATGAAGATATCATCGTCGCGAAAAAATTTCGCGACTTCAACGGGACGCAAACACATGGTCTCTGCGTTAGCGCTGCAGTGCTCTACCAACTGAGCTACGAAGACCCTCCAATTGGGAGCTTGCCAATTTGTTGAGTTCATCTTAAGCCGTGAAAAGGAATGAAACATAGAAGATGATGTAAACTGCGAAAATACAAATCTAAATGAAGATATGATCGTCGCAGTGGCAATTGCAATTTTAGCCATGGCAACTAGACCCGAAAAAATTTCGGGACTTCAACGGCATTTGAACCCTTGGCATCTGCGTTACCGTTGCAGTGCTCTACCAACTGAGCTATGAAGACCCAACATTGGGACCTGCAGGGGTCAATTTAGTAAAACTTTTACAAGTGTACTTTACGAGTGTAGTTAGAGCGATTTTCGTATGACCTTGAAAAATGGTTTCCGTAAGTGTTCGTTATTTGTTTTATCAGCCAATGGATGAAAAGATCAAAACATGGCCCCTTAGTTTTCCCGCCAAAGAAAACCCTAATATGGAACTTAACCAACCAAAAGCCACCCGCGTTTGTATGTGTTCGATAAACCAATCAAATCGCTCTATTTCTGTTCGTTTGTTGTTTCTGTATTGTTCGCGCGTTTTTATTTCAAGGTCATACGAAAATCGCTCTATTGGGAGAGTCAGAGACAGAAACTGAGTAGGAATATGCGAATTTCTGGGCTCTTTTTCATTTCCTCCCCTCCCCTCCCCTACCGTTATTGCCGGTTTGTAACCGTTATGGTTTTCGGTTTACACCTACATCCGAGTTTTCAGTACTCTTCTCGCCTTTTCAACTCTCTCGCATTGTGATCTTTTTCTAGTGTTACAATGCACTCAAGGAGGATCCACAATAAAGCGGATCTTTCACTTAATTTCTAGTTAAGTATGGACATGGCAATGATTGTTTAATCAGCTAGCTGAAGCTAGCGCCCCCTGGCTTAATATCAGAAAATGAACTGAAGTAGCACTCAATACTGGCGCTCAATATCTTGGCTCGTATTGAAGGTTCCGAATCGGCCGGGAAGTATCTAGCAATGCTATGACCTTCGATGAAAGGCAAAACTCGACTGCCCCCGGTTTCGTAGAAAAATGCCAATTAAAGGAGTCTAAAGCAATTCTAAATAAGTATGTAACTTGAATGACATCACACGTTCGTCACGGCTGACTAAAATGAAGTTTATTTCCCTAACTCGGGGTTTTAAATGAGGTATTAGGGCCAGCCAATGACAAATGAAGCGAAGCCTCGTTCAAATGATCGCCCATGCCATGCTGAAGAAATTTCGATAATACATCATTTTTCCCACTCAATACATACAACAAGACGTTATGCAGGTCTAGCCCGAAACACTGAAACAGTGGCCAGTTTGCAAGTTATACTCAAATGGTCAAGTATTCATGTAAAAGTATCCCTTTTCTTTCTCTAGTTTACTCTTCTATTGCGTGGTACCGTAAATTTCTGTGTGCACATTCCAGTCACAATTGGCTCCTTACGTGAAGGTACGGATGCGCAGCTCCAATCATGGACAAAAGTCTCGGGACACTATTGCATTTCTGGGGCGTTTTCCATATTCACACAGGTCCAGCCCCTCCCCTCACCCCAAAACAACCCAGAAGTTTTCCCGTGTTTCAACTTTGTATAGAGTGGGGGAAGGGAAAACTGCAAGAAATTTCGAAAGGATGCACTGTTTTAAGAGGAAACCGAGAATGACAGAAAAATATGAATATTGCAGTACTGTCCCAAGGACTTATGTCCAGGATTGTAGTTCGTTCAAGTTCAGCTCATGTATGTTGTCATTCGATTTTATCCTCCGTTGAAATTTTATTTTTCCTTGTTTCAAATTTATTATCTTACATTACTTTTACCCAAAAACAAAGGAAAATATAATTCAAACCAACTATACATTTGAACCGCAACATGTTCGAGGGCAAAAGAGAGCGTTTGAAATGAGAGAAATTCACGAGGGTAAAGAGCGTCACCAAATTTGTATAGTTCTAGACGTCCAAAATCCGCGTCCTTCAATTCTCGCTGGATACGTATTAGTCTCAAGCTGGTTACGACGTCACATATGGCATCACATATTACCCTGGCTTTCCAAAAATGTACAAGGAGTTCCGAGCATTACCGAAGATGTTCCGAAGACTTCCGAAGGTTGCCAAAAGACGACTAAGACTTCTAAAAACTGTAAACGATGGAAAAGACCAAAGAATGAAACACTAAAGCAGCAAAACTAAACTTAACTGTCCGGTCGCGATGGGTTAATGAACAATAGTCCAGATTTGTGAGGCATTTGTGAGGAATTGCCCTGAAAAAGAACTTTGGATGAATGAGTGGAAAGGCTAGATCCCTGCAATTTTATACAACCGTTGCATTGTATTATTAGTTTGTTAAACTGACTGATTCGACTTGTGAAAAAATCCTTAAGACTGACTAAAGTTATTCTGTAAAAATCATCACCAAGAAGAAAAAAGCTAATTAGTTCGGATTTTGAGTTATTTGATCGTTTTTTTTACAAGTTGTGTTCTTCCGCTAAAGGGCCATGCAGTGTTATGCGGCTGTCGTGGATTCAAATGCTCGCGAACCCAATTCCTTTTTCCTCGCCATCCCAAGTTCGTGTGACAAGCGTATCTTTCAACTTCAAGATTGCTTTAACTCTACAGGATTTGTAAAACGGACAGCCGCTTAAGTTTATGTTTTTTTGTGATGGTATGGTTTGCCGTTCCTTATTTACATCCTCTATTAATTACGTGGAGTAGATTTTCTCATTAAAAACAATCATTCCATTTCTTCTTGCAGCACCACCATCCTACGCAGAAAGCGTCAGTGGGCAGACGCGGCGATATGATACAGTGCATTTCGACAAAGGCGTGGGAATGCCGCAATTAAGTGCTGCCGTTAAAAAGACTTCATAGCCTTAAGTGGCACTGGATCAGACAGGTGGATCTAGCCGAAGTCCTCCTCCCCTCCTCCCCCCCCCCTCTAGCCTTAGCCTCTTATCGGCCCTTTGTTCCGCCCCTGATTATCAACGTCTGAAAAAAAAAATCATTATATTTTTGTTAATAAAAATATAAAACAGAACAAATTTACTACCCAGGAGGAAAGTTATTCCACTGATGCTTTTTGTAAACTTTGTCCCACCTAGAGTAATAACAGGCTCAGGTTAAGGGTATTGCTGGGTTCGATGCAGTTCCAGAAATTTATTGTTCCAATAAGGTCGTATATAAAAAGTAAACCAAAAATCAAAGACGTTGAGCCAAGGGACACAAAAATTTTGCGCGTAAGATTCATAAAAGGAAACGTTTTTTACTAATCGGGAGAACATCTTTTATCTTTTTGAGCCTTACTCATCCAAACCAAGAACGCCTCAAAGCATTGATTTCTGAAAGTTACAAACTTGGTTATGGGCTATTCACATTATACAGGATTGACTGTCATTGTTCAACGAGTTCATCTCATCTTTAATTGTTTTTCTCTTTTTCGTTTACATGCATCAAAACGAAATTTCGTTCCGTACAACTCAATCGGGAATGAGAGGATTAATTCAGTTTTCAATCCGAATGAAATTCTAACCTCGTTCGGGTACGACATTTCATTCTGGTATATCTCGTATACTGAAAACAAGTCTCTAGGATTGAAGGAAGAAAACCATGTGAGACAGGAGCCGATTAAATGCCTTACGCTGAGCCGGACGATTTTATCATGTGAATGCAGTACGAACTTACCCTGCTAGCAGATCGATCTTTCCTATAAAGCAGGTCGATATTTCCTATCTAGGAAAGACCGAAGCAACTCTGTTCAGCTGTCAGTTGGCAGGGTCAGGGTTTACTCTGGAACGAAACTCATTCCGGAATGAAAGTCATTCCGTTATCATCTAAACAGCCCCTAATAGAAGGGACCAGAATTTTATTACCTTCATATATATATATATATATGTATGTATATTTTTGCTGGCTTTATCTTTAAAAGCTTAGATTTCGTTTGAATCAAGTAAGGTCTTTTCTTTCCTATCAATTTGCGTTTTACAAGAAAAAAAAGGGTATGTATAAACAAAGCACGTTTTAAGTTTTGCCTTTGTAAAAGGTTTGAAATCAGTAAAATTGACTCACCTAGTGTTTGTATTGTGTGTTTTAATGTCTGCTTTAATTAAATTCTGGAGCGATTTTGAAGCCGTTTTAGCGAGTTTTAGATTTTGATCGTAATGACTACAAAACTCGAAAGAGCTATTTCAAAATAGGTGTATCGGTTACCCGGGAACTGAGAACACAAACTAAGCTGATCTACTTCTAACGAATGAAACTACTCGCGGGAAAATGGGTTCGTTCTCGGTGTAAGAACCTGTTAAACTCACCAGTGCCGTAAAAAAAGAAGAAAACAAAGAAGTCAACGCTATAGAACCTAGAAAAACAAAAGGTGCGTTGCAAAACAATGAGAAAGTTCACAGGCCAGGTAAACTCGAAAATTGTCTTTCGCATGCTGAAAATACTGTCAGAAACCCTCTTAGGACGTCTCTTAGATCGCGGTTAGGTCGGTTAGTTTTTATGAAAAAGTTAGTTTCGGACTAATAACGAAACATTTATCACGTTAAGTATCAAAAGAGCCCGCTATTTTGCTCCCAAGTGTTTGAAATCTCTGTGGATCTTTCAGGCCCCGTTTTTGTTAGGGTGTCTGAGAGTCATCTTAACTAACCGGAAATAAGTTCTGAACAAGCAGAATTAATAATAATTTGTTTTTTATCGGTTATTTTTAAGACTTCACTTAATGGTTTAACAAGTTTTAACTTGTTAAAAGAACATAATTCACTGGCCCGGTCGCAAAATCCACTTACCCCGGTCTATCGGGCACCACTTTAGTTCGCACGCGGTGTCATTTTAGCCCTCTGCACATATTACTAGCCTATCATTCAAAACCCCCCCTGACCTTTGGCTGTAGGTGATCAATTCAATGCAGACTCATCATGCATGTAATTACGGTTGAAAATTGATTGAATGTCAGCTGTTAAACCATGGGCAAGATTGATTACTTCGTCGTTGAATTTTATGGAGGGAAAAGGACGTTTTACCCAGGGGAGGCAATTAATGGAACCCTCCGTCTCAAAGTGAATAAGGAGTTAAAACTGCGAGGCCTACGGATTGAGTTTCATGGCAAAGCTCACGTACATTGGAGTGAAACCCACGGATCTGGAGATAACAGGAGAACAAGACACTATAATAACAGCCAAACTTACATCGATACCTTAGCAACATTGTTCGGTAAAGGTCAGTTTGGGTTTTATTCATTTTGTTATTGGACGTGTAGAGTGTCATTGTTGCTTGTCGAATATTCAAGCTGGATCATTGTTATGAAAACCGGCTTCCAACATTAATCATTTATAAACCTCTTATTGAAGGGTTTTACATTTTGAGTTTGTTTTTAGAAGCAACCTCGACTAACCTCGACTAACTTTTCTTGCTTACATTCTGGCTTAGCTTTCTTGAAGAGTGTTAGCAGGGCTAATGGCGTGAAGTCTCGATTTAAGCCACAGGTTAAATTTTAAAATTTATGCTCAATTTGTTTTAAGCTTACAAAGTACTTTTATCGCGGTCAGGTTTGCATATTATCGCTGTAATTTTCGAAACCGAACGAAACGAAGCAAAAACAAAAACCTATACTTAAAGAAATGAACTCAAAGTTTCGAAATAAAACTCTGTTTATGTGTGTATCAGGTTAGGAAAAGTGCCACAAACATTGAAAACAAAAGTATCCGATAGATATAATACCAAGTACATTGCTGGCACCTTATTCAGGCTGGGTGATTTTCCTATTACAGATAAAGTATGCATTTTCGGCACAGTTCTCCTTCTTCATTTATCGAGAGATGTATCACTTTGGAAGTAATTGATATGCTGCATCAGTTAATTCCAAGAAAAATTACTCTTCACCCTCTTTGCCCACCATGTCCAGGCATACCTCAAACATTTACCTCCCTTTGGAACTAGGTGCAATGTTAGACTTGCTACTAGTCGACCTCTTGGCGAGTGGAGCAAGCCTTGTTCGGCCGCGAGCGAGGAAGTCGGGAGAGGTCGACTTGTCTCGCTTGATGGGTTTTCCATTTGCATTTCGTGCCAAAAATGGGGAGTGGCATGACTTGCATTTGGGGTTTCAGGTTTCATTTGCGAGTCCTTGCCTTCAATGGCGGAATGTGCAGATTCCACTCCAACTAAATCTATTGAACATGTGTGTGTATCTCCATCATCGAAGGAGCAAATTTGTTTACTTTGTGCGAAAGTTGTCTCTAACAATGATTTTAGGCGAAAGTTGACGACCTCAGGGGGCCGGAAAAAAAACAAAAAAAACTTGTTTCAATCCTGAGTCAATACTGGGAAAGGAGATTTCACAACCAAGGAATCCTTGACATCCGCACACATTTTAAACCTACAAAGACTTTTCAATACACGCATTTCTCTTCCTGTAACCCTCATGGGGTCAGAAAAGGTGTCATAAAGGGCCAAGCCCTTATACCCCTGAGAACTAACTCCTCATCTAAATCCTTCTATGACAACATCTTCAACTTCAAAAAACGCCTTTGCGCTAGAGGTTACCGTCACAATCTCATAGAAAAAATCACCTCTGACAGGAGCCAATTACTGCCTCTGAGGTTAAATTTACCGCGCGGAAGTCAGCTTTACAAAAGAACAATGAAGTGCGAAAGAAAATTCTGCCTTTCGTTACCACGTACCACCCTGCTTTGCAGAACCTTAAAAACATTTTAATGAGCAAATGGCACTTAATTCAAGATCAACCACTACTGAGAGAAATACAGTGTATACAACAAGCCTCCCATCATTTCACATAAAAGAGCAAAATTGCTGTGAGATATCCTCATAATTTAGAGCAAAACTATAAGGTCACGTAGCACACTGTCACAAGCCTATATTATGAGTCGTACTTTGCCTGTCAACACCTTCCACTTCGCAATCAACCCCATGTTGGAATTTGAACCTCAAGTCACGTTTCAATGTGCTTAATACTTGTGAGTGACAGCTTTATCCCCAAGGGTAGCTACTCTGATTGGTCCAAGCACACCGACCCGTTTTTGGGTCAGTAAAATTGGCACCAAACAAGTATGAAAAGTCCTTGGTCCCGCCCCATATGAAATCCGATGAAGGACTTTTTTGAAAGTCTAGGTGCAATGTATTTGATGCAAAATGGAGCCCACAAGGACCACATAGGGGCTGATCGTTTATTATTGGTGAGAGGGGGCTGGCCATTTTGCTGGGGGGTCATTTTCAAAATCTTAATTTATTTTGGAGGGGTTCATTTTCAGTTGGGAGTGTTACGTACCTGGATGCTGATTTTAATGAATTTCATGAAAGTAGTGCAAAGCAGTAACAAGTATGAACTGAAATTTTTATTTAACAGCCATTAAAATAATAGTGAACACCCATCTCATAAACACAACTCAGTAGATTTACTGAACTCTGGCACAATTTAATGTAGCTAGAATATTGATAATTTTTGTAGTTTCAACTGCAATCAGGTGGGTGAGGGGGGGGTTCACTTTCACAATACATAAGATTTATGGGGGTCATTTCTAAAAAGCTAGGATGAATTAGGGGATCTGTTTGAGATTCCTCTAAGCTTTTTCCCATTGCCATTAATACCTACTTACCCAAGTGTACCTATCTATCTACGTTGATTAACAGCTCCAGGTCAGAGTGGCAATGACCCAGTTCTCCAGCCTGGTGATTACTCCTATCCATTTCAGTTTCTAATCCCAAACACTAATATGCCGACCTCAGTAGAAGGAAGGTATGGCTATGTTCGCTACTGGTTAAAGGGAATTGTTGACCGCCCATGGAGATTTGATATCACGACCAAAGCAGCTTTCACTATGTTGGAATATGTGGACATCAATACACCTCTGCTTTTAGTAAGTTTTTATTAACATCATGATCTTTCCCTAGCAAATCAAATACAATGTATTGGGTCTGTGCTTACTCTTACAAAGCTTTTTTCCTCTATCAGAAAATACAGAGAGAGGAAATCTGAAAATATTAATTACCAAGTTATTCGTAACTTTTTCAACAGGACCTAGGAAAACTGGCAGAGACATATTTTGGTAGACTTAATTTTAATAAATGTGATTTGGAATAGAAATTGATTTTGAAAAATACAAGTATCTTTGATCGTTACAATTGCAACATGTTTGCATTCAGTATACATGAACATGGTGGTGTAAGTTGTAGCCTATTCTGTATAGTCAGAAACTCTTATGAGGTTCTGGCATTAAAGTATAATGAAGGTATATTAAATGAACAGAGTATTAGCATCATGAGATTGCAAAAACTGGCAAAGTAAAGTTCCTTTAATAGTGCCCCCTATACAGGGTTGGACATTGGCGTTCGCCCACTCACTGCACCCAGGCAAGTTCCAAAATGGTCGGGCAAGTACAAATCAAGAATCACATGCCCAGTTTGGCGAGTATGGTGTTCATACTGGCACCATACGTTAATTCAAAATTAACGGCACTTTTCACTTTCCACTTGAAAATAATCTACACTGTCCTTTAGCCAGAAGCTTACCAATGTTCTGAAAAGTCCATCAACCCTGGTCTGTATTTTTTAAAACGGGTTGGTGAACAGACAAAATGCTCCTTGCTTCGATGATTGCTACATGAAGGATGAACACTTGTACAAAGTACCAGTAATACCTCTGGTCATTAAATACACTGCGTTGTCCACAGAACCGCAAAATGCGGGAAAATAGAAAGATTGGAGAGAGCATCACGTTTATGTCAAATGGCAAACATAAATTTGTACCACATGACAAAGTTTCCCCTTTGTTGTTTTCTATTTTGAGCAATTCTGAACGTGAATCTGACTTTTGCCATTTGCGTTAAACTCTCCATTAAGAGTCACATTTGCGGCAAGTGGCAAAGTCAGATTGAAGTTGAGAATTTTTCAGAAAAGAAAATAATCAGTTAAAAAATATCCAGAAAAATTCTTATGGATAAAACTGGTGGGAAACTATGCTTTTTTTGAGTTAGAAGTAATCAACAGTAAATGACAATTAAGAAGAAAACTGAGGTAGGTCTAAGTTTGCACACAGACTAGCAAAAATTGGGAAAAATTGGAGAAATTGCAGTTTTTGCTAAAATTGCTAAATTCAAGTGCACAAAAAATGCAGTTTTTGCTGATGCCTGCAAACCTGGACATAAGTGGAAAAACTTGGTCACGTGGTACAAATTCATGTTTGCTGTTTGGCATAAACATGACTCTTAATCAATCTAATGGCTCTATCTTGCCGCCGCTTTTAGTGTATAATTTCGACACTTTGCTTGAGTGTGTTGTTGTTTCCTTTTCGTTTATTAAGATCTATTTCAGGGCATGGTGAGTGAACTTCCATGCAGTGAGGAGGGGGCTTTTCTTTATGGTAGGAGACTGGGTCAGACGCTCCAAAATTTTAGTTTCCAACCCTTTTATAGTAGCAGTTTTATAGTATACTAAGCCTTAGATAGGGGCTAATTTTTAAGTGACTGGAGTCAAGTCTAATACAACCATACATATTTCAACTCTTATTTCCTCAGCAACCTTGTCAGATCCAAGAGGATCGTAATGTGGGATGCCTGTGCTGTGTATCTGGTCCACTCAGTATTATTGTCTATACTGACAGAGGAGGTTACTGTCCAGGAGAATCTATTGGTGTCTCTGCAGTCATTAATAATAATTCAAAAAATGAGATTATTGGGCTGGAGATACAACTTATTCAACTCACTGTCTTCATTGCTTCTGGTGGTGGGTAAAAGAACCAACATCACACTTAAGAACAAGTCTAGAACAAATTAATTAATAGTCAATTTAATTTGATTCAGTATTTGCGTCAGCACTGTTTTGAATTGCAGTGGGAACTGCACAATATTTTTGTTATAATGGTGTGAAATATATTAACCTGATTGACCGAGTTTTGTAAGGAGGCTATAACGTTTGAGTCTACTCAGTTTTTGATTTACTATGGTGTAACCATTAAAATGAAAACTTTTGGCAGATGACTTTCACATGGTACTATTTGTCAGGTCTTGTACATATACATGCATAAGCATATTGATAAAGTCCTTAATACACAAGAAAGCTTCACCTCTAGTTGGAGAAGAAAAAAGTTCCTGAAAGGTTTCCTGTTCATATTTATTTGATGGAGTTGAAATCATACTTCAATTTAACTGATTGCTGTCGAACACCTGGACACTTTGAGGCTATATCCCTAAAACAGTACTCGTGGCTGCATAGCCTGTTCCAGGCTCTTAGATAGTGGGGAAGATGCGAAAGAAAAAGGTGCGCGAAAAGTTGGCGTTTTATTNAGAGGAGGTTACTGTCCAGGAGAATCTATTGGTGTCTCTGCAGTCATTAATAATAATTCAAAAAATGAGATTATTGGGCTGGAGATACAACTTATTCAACTCACTGTCTTCATTGCTTCTGGTGGTGGGTAAAAGAACCAACATCACACTTAAGAACAAGTCTAGAACAAATTAATTAATAGTCAATTTAATTTGATTCAGTATTTGCGTCAGCACTGTTTTGAATTGCAGTGGGAACTGCACAATATTTTAGTTATAATGGTGTGAAATATATTAACCTGATTGACCGAGTTTTGTAAGGAGGCTATAACGTTTGAGTCTACTCAGTTTTTGATTTACTATGGTGTAACCATTAAAATGAAAACTTTTGGCAGATGACTTTCACATGGTACTATTTGTCAGGTCTTGTACATATACATGCATAAGCATATTGATAAAGTCCTTAATACACAAGAAAGCTTCACCTCTAGTTGGAGAAGAAAAAAGTTCCTGAAAGGTTTCCTGTTCATATTTATTTGATGGAGTTGAAATCATACTTCAATTTAACTGATTGCTGTCGAACACCTGGACACTTTGAGGCTATATCCCTAAAACAGTACTCGTGGCTGCATAGCCTGTTCCAGGCTCTTAGATAGTGGGGAAGATGCGAAAGAAAAAGGTGCGCGAAAAGTTGGCGTTTTATTTTCGTGTTTGTGCTTTCTCAATTCAGTGGACCCAACTATCTCGGAGCCTGGAACAGGCTAGTGGCTGCATGGCTACATAGCCATGTAGCCGTGTAGGCACTTAGCTGCGAGACAACTTTTTGCACTGCTGTAACTCTTACTTTGCAAACTACAAAATAAAAGCAAGCCAGAGTCCCATAGCCACATACACGTAGCCACTGTTTTAGGAGTAGAGGTTAGAAGTGGCTGCAGTTACTCCCATGATTTTTACCTTCATCATCACCATCATCGATTTAATTCATTTCTAGGGAAACAAAAACACTGGGAAGATAAGGTTGCATCCATGTTTCAAGAAGGAGTGAAGCCTGGGGAAGAGACTCGCATGCCAATGGTACCACTTCCAGTCCCCTCTCTGCCCCCTACCATGACGAGTTGCAGTTGCATAAGGATATCGTATTGTCTACGGGTAATTTACCTATTATCTGTCCATTTGGCTGAATTGTTTGAAATATCTGATTTTTTTTTTTGACGACTGTCATTTGCTGCCTTGCCAACATTTTGCCATTAAGTCAAACCAACCGTAGTTGTTCTGGTTTGAATGACAGGACTTGCATCTGGTGTGAATTCATTTGTTGATGGAATATTTTTAGTACTGCTAAGAACTCTTGTTTTGCCCCATGTAAGGGAATCCTGATTCCAGAATCCGGGAAAATTTTGTTTATGGAACTAGGAATACAGCCCAAGGAATCCGGAATCCCGCTAACGATTGGAATCCAGAATCCAAGTTCCAAGTTTGACAAAGACGAGCTCCCCTAAAAGGGCCTGCGTGGGAGGCTAGCAAATCTCTGGCTCATGTTAAATTGTATTCTCTTCTCAATTACTCTATCGCCAGATGCCACCTTTATCTTGTTAAAAAATATGACGCTTTATCGAATAACTGACCCCTGATGATTGGACCAAACGGTAAAGAAACTAATTGCTGTTCGCAGTAGGAAGTTTATTGGTTGTCACTCAAACCCTAGCGTCCTTAACAACGCCAGCGTCCTGTGGTGTGCAAAAAAAGTCGTATGCGGGTCCTCATAGTAAGGAACAATTACGACTTTAAGTGCCGAGGTTTGTTTCGTTCATTAGCAAACGAATCCTGAAAATGTTCAAATCAGAGCTGAGCTGGAATAGCCAACAAAAAATGTTTCTCCCCACTGTCTTTCACAGATATGTACTAGGAGGTGTGCAGAGTTGATATAAAATCGAGTTAAACGCCAACAGTTGTAGGTCAGTTCTATTTCGTTGCTTATTTTTTTTCTTGCAACCTTTCAACAGCTGAAAGTTAGAGTGAAGGGTGCCTTCAACTCAACATTAAACATTCCTATCACAATTGGCTCAGTTCCATATCGGCCGCCCCTTCATCCAGCCCAATACCCACCCCCAGGTGCTGCTTTGACTCCTAGTGCCCCACCACTGGCGGGATTTGACGCAGCATCAGCGTATCCACCAGCCGCTACACAGTATAGTGACCCTACGCAGAATTATCCAAATATTGGTAAGAAACATTTTGTATCGTGACTACTGTAGTATTCCGAAATTAATTCCACCCGCCCACCCACCCTCACAAAAATTACGGCTACCAGTAGGGTTACACTAGCCTTTGGTGTCCTTACACTGGACCTTGCCCCCAAAGCGGGTTGGGCTCGCTCTGGGATCTGATCACTTTGCTGTTTTCGGTTACACGCCAATAAATTGCCCAAGGGGAAGAAAAGCTTGGACCCGGTTTCACGGGGGTCAATTTATAAAAAGAAAGAAAAAAACTGGCTCCAGAACTCTTCGACCTAAGGTTTTGCTTTTGAAACATCACTTGTTTTTTATTTCAGCTCCTCCTTCGTACGCAGAGTGTGTTAGCGGTGGAGCGTCAATCGATGACGAGGGCGATAAAAAGATGCTGGGTGATACCAGCTTTACACCAATGTACCCATTTGTTAATAACTACCAACTTCCCTCTGCACCGCCTCCTTCATTTCCCTAAGAGGGAAGTACAACCAGCTTCGAAGTGGCAGACATTAGCCATGTTATTTATTAATAAGTTATTTCTTTAGGGTCTCGACAAAAAACTGTAAAGCCATCGATACTGCCCGGGGGGGGCGGGGGAAAGGGTGTACGTGGATTAATTTTTGCTGGGTATGTGCCGCTGGCCCCTCAGGGCCCCTACCCCATTATGGTCTATTCTTTGACCAATTAAAGACCCATCTTTTTCATTTTTCGGCGAATGTAATTTTCGCGATCCCAAACTGAGTCACTTTCTATTTATGTATCTACCTTATCAATCCTTTAAATGGGTCATAATAAAATAATTGACCCATTTTTTGAACTGAATGAAGAGCACTTTACTTTTCACCTACAGTACAAACATTCTGGTACGTCTGCTAACCGAAAATATGAAGAACTTTCTTGCCTCAAAAATCCTAAAATCTGCGACCCCATTCTAGTAACTCTATTGAAAATGCTACCCCATGATAGTCAACCCAGTCGTGAAAATGCGACCCCATCCAGCGGCACATCCCCTTAGCCTCTAATGAGGAAGTACCCCCCCCCCCCCCCCCCCCCCGGGCGATAGTACTATCCCAGGAGTGGGCACGTTTATAATTAGCTTGTAGATTAGCTGGTGATAGTGCGAATTTGAGCATCCACACTGCAAAATTGATGTGTAGAATGATGAAATTTTATGAAAATTGAAAAAGCTGGTAGACGATTTGAAATCCCGTAAAGTAGAAACAGTTCTCGCGACATACCACTTCATGGAATAAGCAGACAATGTGAAGAGAGGTTTAAAGGACCATTTGATGGGCCACAAAAGCCAGCGTTCACCATGATTGTTGGCCTTGGAAAAAAATTGTAAATTTATTCATAAAACAGAACAAAGGAAGAAAGTTATTCCA